TTACTGCCAGGGAGGCATGGGGAATTTTGTCAAGTTTTTTTACTTTTATTAGTTTTAAGTTTCACATGGTCTTCAGTATGCTTATAGGACAGCTTGTGGTGGAGAGGTTGAGATTTGGGAGAGGGGACCTCTGAGGGGCCCTGGAACGTCCTAAGTGAAGGGCACAGGACCAACCTGAGCAGGTTCACTGCTTCCTCTGAGGCTGAGAAAAAGAAGGGAGGTGGAAGCAGAAATAAATGCCTTTGAAGGTATTGGTTTGGGGAACTGAGGCAGTTTATACTTTTTACCTTCACTTGTCTTGGTGAGGTAGGAGAGAAGGTTACCCTTGGGAAAGAGTAGATGACGGGACTGTGGTGGGCTTGAGAAGAAAGAAGGTCTGAAAGGCCCCATGAGCAAGAGGAAGTGGAGCCAAGGGGTGACAGCTCTACCTGGCTTCATGTGGAGGGTCAGTGTGATTTCAGCGGCAGCCTTTGTAAAACGCAATGATAAAGACCAACGTGAGGCAAACCAATGAAATCTTAGTTAGGCCTTGAAGCAATAAATGATGACGCTAAGCTAAGCTGTTTTACCTCTCTCGTCACTGCTTCGGTTAGAGCTGACCTACAGTAAGGATAGCCAGGTGCACATCTAGTGCACAGAAACAGGTGACAGAGCTTTTGCTGTCACCACCTACAAGCAGCCTTCCCCAAGGGACTAACGCCAATGACTGGTGCACTTGTTATTGGTTTCCAATTTGATACCAAGCTTATGAAAAAAAAACCCAAAAGGGAATCAAAACCACAGGCTCTCCTCAATGGCACCGTTGTAGCCTGTTCACTGACAGCAAAGGGCAACTATTCAGCAACTTAGAAGGAAAGTGAGTGGGGATCTTTGGATAAACCCAAAATAGGCCACTAGACTAGAAATGTTGAAGGTGTCTAGACCACCATATTATTTCTTCACACAGCCATGCTGCATGGGACATCTTGCCTCACATCAGCTTGTTTGGTAGCCCAAATTCTGTCATTGTTTTTCTCAAGTGCTGACTCTCAGAGGTTGGAATTAGTTTTGTATTTTTTTTTTAGATGTCTCTAATTCAATCTACCTGCAAGATTCTAAATGATTTTATTTGCAAGAGCCAGACCTGTCTATGCCCATCCAGGGAGAAAAGGCCATGTGAAGACACAGTGAGAAGAGGGCCATCTGCAAGCCAGGAAGAGAGCTCTCGCCAGAAACTGAATCAGCTGGCACCTTGCTCTTGGACTTCCTTCCACCAGAACTGTGAGAAGATAAATTTCTGTTGTTTAAGCCACCCAGTGTGTGGTAATGGCAGCCCGAGCTGTAATAGCATCACAATTTAAAAACCAACCAACCAAGGAAGAGCATGGTTACCCATTTTTACCCAGCCAGACTCCTTCTAATACCAAGAATTCTTCTTAGTTCTTGAGCAGCAAGGTGACTACAGGACGCTACAGGATGTCATCCCAGAGGGTAGAGTGCCTGATCCTGGCACACAGCCCTTGTCCTTTAGCCTTGTATTTCTTAAGGCTTGGTTAGGTATTGGGGTCTTGATCATGGTGTCATTAGGGTTAAATTTCAGATGGAAACTTGCATAAAACACATGCTGAGAACATTTGCTCCCCAGTGGTATTAAATCACCTTGTTATTTATTACCCTCTAGAATCCTCTAATTTACATGTGGTCTCTTCTCATATGAGTACTTCAAGTAAATCTGAATTTGTTTATACAATTTTATGGGTACTGTAAAACCACAATGGAATTTCAGGCCTTTGTAGTAGTCCAGCCAAGATGGTCTCCAATTAGAAATAATTGCTGTTAATGCTGTTATGATGTGGTGGATGCCCACTACACCCCAGACCTTTGTTCTACTAAATCCTCTGAGAGCCTCTTCTTTATTCTTCAACTAAATAGACAGGCCCCTAGAATATACGCTTTTTGAATTGCAATATAGGAGCAATATTGTGCCTCTCTCTTAATTAACCTTGTTAACCAAGGATTTGGAACATCAGTTGGTTAGTCTAAGAGGGCCTTTTGATCCTCTCAGTACACATCTACAGTTGAGTAGGATGTCACTCTAGTGAAATAAAGCACACTTTATTCTTTGGCATACACCAAATAGCTTTATTATTCGTTGAGGAATGATGTAATATTCTTGTTTAATGAAATAATGTGTGTAAAGTGCTTAGCTTCGTGCCAGGCACAATAAATATTAGCTATCGTTTTTATCATAAATTTTTAGAAAAGGCTTTCTGAATGGAAAGGAAATACAGGGGCAGAGTTGTCAGAATCATGCAGACAGCTCAGTATAAATCAGTCCACAGTGGATTCCAGATACCACTTCCTGTTGCTCTTCTAAGAGCAACTTACCTCCAACATATTAAAATCCTTTTGTTCTGACTCTCACAGTGTCTTCCAAGGTACCTCTCTTCCCTTTCTGCTCACCACACAAAAGAAGGTAAGAGACAAACAATGCTGTTTTTTTTTGCAAGGCAGGTGGCCCCTCTGGCCTGGGAAGGAGTTCCAGGGGATGGTAATTAACACATTTTCCTTAATCTTTCTTTTATGGTCAATCTCCAAAGCATGAAAGAGGTTGGCCAGTTGATTAAACTGTAAGAATACAATCGATCTGAAATGAAGGCAGCACTGATGAATACAAATGAATAAAATTGCCCATCCTGTGGAAAAACACCTCAACATAAATCCCAACTTGAAATACTAATATAACACTTGAAATTAACCACATGAACATTTTCTGGATTAATAGACAGCAGTTCATCTAATTCAGCAGAACGTCATTTTCAGAGTAAGAAGCCACCATTCTTTGATCTCTTCTAGGAAAAAAATGTGATCCTATTTCGAGTTTGTTCTCGGGTCACTGCCTACTAGGATCATTCTGGAATAGACAGGAAGGATCCCTGACACAGTGGCCCCTGATGTACCTGCAGCTGGATTGGCACTTAGTCTGTAGTATCCAGGGCATGTAGAAGTAAGCATTTATGTGGTTGCATTGGAAAGAAGGGCTTGTGAGGCTGGCCTTTTCTATGCCAGGTGGCAGAGGTTCAAAAAGGTCAAGGCTGAGAGCAAGGTGGTAGGAAATCCAGAGCTCTGTGTCCTCTGGAAGGAGGGCATTCCAGCTGAACAGGCATCCAGTTCTTCAGCCGTCCCGCCCCTCCCCCCACCCCCACTCCCCAGTGCAGGCTCCAGCACAGCTAACTGCTCCATTTCAGCCACCTTCCCAGTGACCAGAGCAAAAGGCAGATCATGAGAGAAGATTCTGTCTCTCTCAACTCTGTTGCAAGCAGAGATGATAAAAACGGGCTGCTTTTATTAATTAAAAAAACAACAACAACTCAACAAAAATCAGACAGCAACATAATTTTCAAAAGTATTGATTGAAAATACTAATCCAGATAGCAGAATAAGAAGGTACTTGTAGTCTCCAGATATATTCTATCAGACAAAAATCCTTTTCCTTAAAATAAGCAGTATACAACGTTGGGTAGCAGATGAAATCAACCATAGAGTTGGTCTTTAGCTCTTCTTCTTTTGGCCAACGAAGCCATCCATTACCTTGAAGGTACCCATATATTCAGCCAAGAGCAGTGCCATCTTGAGGGGCAGGACACTAAAGAGAACAGAAGAGTCAACTTCCTTGGTTATCATTCATGAAAGCATCTTTACCAGCTCAGCTGAAAAGCACTGTCACCGACTTGTTGCAGATGAAGTCATTCACACATGCACACACTAACGTGCATGTCTCAGGGTCAGCGGGGCTCGTCCCCTATGTGGGAGGACACTGGCCCAGGGTCTCTATATCCCTCCTTGCTTTATTTATGTCACTCAACTCACTTCTCATGTCCTTTTCCAAAGCTTCACTACACCACTATGTAATGACTAATAGGAAGCAGGGAAGTCTTGTGGAGTTGGATGAGCCTGGCTTAAAGCCTAGCTCTGTCATTTACAATGTCATCTCACGCAAGTTAATTAGCTCGTGAGTGTCAGTTTCTTCCAGTGTAAAATGCGGTCATCAATCTTTCTTTCTGGGACTACTGTAAGGATTAGATGCAGTAGCTCTTCAGGTCTTTGGCAAGATCCAACTAAAACTGTTCATCTTCTTCACCCCCAGTTACCCCTCCCGACAGAGCACTCTGAACCCTTTGATCCTGACGTTCATGGTGTAGAGTAAGGAGACATAGTAAACAGAGCAGGCAAATAAACCTGAGACTTGTCCTAAGGGTGGGGTAAAGAAAAGGACCCCGTGTTCGCTGCCCTTCTAGGGCACCCCAAGATATCCAGGTGGTTTCTGCCCTCCCCAGCTTCAGGTCTCTCATAAATATGACCTTCTCCATGAGACCTCCCCTGATCACCATACTGAAAACTAAATTTCAACTTGCACCCCTCCTCTACTTCTCACTCTGGGATTTCCTTTTTTCTGCTTTACATTTCTTTGTAGCACTTATGACCACTTAGGATAACTTTTCTTTTACTTTATTATTATTTTTTGTTTGTTTGTTCCCTGCCCCCTGCCCCTCAGGAAGGTAATTTCCATGAGGGCAGGAACTCTTGTCTTGCTTGTTCTTTACTATAAACCCTGATCCTAGGATGGTCAGCAATGCATGGCACACACTTGGGACTCTCTAATGTTTGCTGAGTGAATATCTGAAGGAGAGTGTTTTGTGCTCCCCGTCACTGAACTTCTTCATGTTTCCAAAACCTTCTTAGGAACTATGTAGATCTTACCCTGTCTGGGGCCCAGAACTAATATCCTATAACAGTAAATACAATTGCTACAAATAATTTAAAAATTAGAAAAATTATATCTCATGTTTTTTACAATTGGCATTCCTATCCTATAAACCACTGTTAGGCAAGAGTTGCCACTGTACTATGAACACACACTACCCAAGAAACAGTGCATTACATTCACTCATTTACAAACTGTAACAAGCATTGACTTCTACATTGCAAATGAGGAAATTGGGCACAAAGAAAACAGGTCATGCTCAGAGTCACAGAATTAGTAAACAGCAGGATTAAAACCCTAGATTTCAAACTCTTTGTCAGAAACCCTTTGCCCTGCCCCACATGGCCTCAGTCAGCTGTATCAATCAGCATTCCTGTGCTAGGTGAAGCCCGGCAAAGTGAAGGGATGTAAGAATGCTCTTGGTTCATTGCACAAAATAGATACAACTAGGTAAAGAGAAAGGACATTTGCTTATGCAGGAAAGGCAATGGCTTCTAGCCATGCTGTGGACATGAGGCATGAGATCTATATTCAAACTGAAGAATTTTTGTTGTCAAGGGGAATGAAATTACTCGCAGTGCTAGAAGGCAAAGCTAGAACCAATGGAAGTTAAAACAAGACAGATTTCAACTCAGCAGAGGGGAGTGGTTCAATAATGGAATGTGCTTCCTTGCAAAGCAGAAACCCATATGAGTGGGAAGTATAACTAGATGACCTGTTACAGTCTAGAAAATGAACTGAGACAGTGGGAATTGGCAGGTGCTTCAGCAATTTGGCATTGCCACTCCAGTAACTGGGTCAAATGTTCATAAACAGCAGCTGACGTGTCTCTGCATAGAAACCCAACAGAGACCAGAGAGGGATGGGCGAAGATGCTCTCTTTGTTTTTCAAAGGGAAACCTTTTCAGTTTCCCCACCCCAAGTTCTTTAACCATCTTATAGCTCAAGTTTATCCTCCGTTGCAAGTTTTACCCATTCCTCAAATTCCTGAAATATTTAGCTTGCTGTCTGGCCCTGTACTCAAGGAAGCATGGACACAATAGCTATTCTAACAGTGATTATTCTATGCTGAGCACATGAAAAAGCACCCTCCTAAAAAAAAAAAAATCATTTCCATTTGTCCACAGGTCATTCAGTAAATCCACTAATTTTGGACAATAATGCCCAAAATACTAAGATGGCTAGAAGGAACCAACTCCATTTTGCAGGCCCCTGGGAGGCACTGCAACTATGCAAATTTGAGATTGTGTCAGCAGGTGGGCACAAGGAAGGGATCAAAATTCATTCACTTATCAGATATTTGTTTTGGCTTCTCCTAGGATTTGGAATAAGTTGTCAATTGGCACATTAGAGAAATAATAGAAGCTGATATTGTTACCTTTTTAAAAACACCATGATGTATATAAACCTTGGCATATACAGGTACAATTTTTCTTGTAGGATAGCATCAACTATTTTTCTGACTGCATATTCTGGTTCCAGAATTGGTAACAGAGAAGGACAACTAGGAGGTTAAAAAAAAATTAAGACATTAATAAAAACAGTTCTTACAAATTAGGAATAAAAGATGTTGTAAGACATTATCATCCATTTGCTTCGTCCCCTTCCAGATTTGATCTATTTCTATATTTATTCCCTTATTATCAACATAGTAATAACTAGAATTTAAAATGGAAAATGATGACTCTAATGGATACACTGACGTTACAATATGCATATTTATGTGAAACAATATAAACAAATGGTCTAAATATTGTAAAGCAAGTCTTTCAAAACTGACTGACTGCCATCTCCATGTCCTGTAGAATTGGGCACTTGTGTCCCTTCAATGATTTCCAGTTCTTCTGTGGGATCCGGGATGAGGGGAGAAAGAAACTGGGTGGCAGAAAAGGAATATTACGAGGAGCCGGAGGAGCAGACCAGGCTGCAGGGTGGGGATCAGTGGGACACAGTCTTTGTAAACCATTCCCATTACACTCAATATCTTAAACATAAACACATTTGAGTAAAGAAGAAATTCTGAAATCATTTATAAATCATGCTAAATCCTAGAAAAACGTCCTTTTAAACAACTTTAAAAAAACAGATAGAACAAAATATAATAGATGCCCAATCATTTAAAAAAATGTAGCTCCTTTGAAATCAAAGAACATACTTACCTGGTAGTACAACCTTCAAACATTCCAGTTTTTATAAAAAACGGGCACACAATGGTGGTTTTGATCCCCCTTTTTTTCTGGACAAATGTTTCTACAAATACAGATTCAGCAAATCCAAAAGCTGCAAATTTACTTGCACAATAATCTGAAAAAGACAAACAACACGAATGTATATTCTGAAGTTTCAAAAAGGGTATTACATGAAGGTTTCCTTGTAACACTAATACCAACAGAGAGGGACGACAATTTCAGAGTTCTTCTTTTGTATGATCTTGGTCTACTCCTCCGGGAGGAAGTGAGGAGTGATTGGAAAGGTCAGTCACATAAAGGTCAGTTGACAACAACCACGCAGACGTTAGGAGAAGCAGCGCTGTGGGAAACGTCCTGTAGGTCACACTGCTAGACTACACCGACGTTAACGGACATTAATGGACCAGACACTGTGCTAGCTGTTAAGAGGGCATTAGGTGTGTGTCCAGTCCCTGTCTCAAAGAACTTCAACCCAATAGGGGCAGGAAAACACAAAAAAGAGGAAATGAAACAATAAGTGATGTTCAGGAGTAGAGGCAAGAGAGGGCAGTGTGGATCATGATACTCAGATCAAGTTTTCTTCCAACTATTGCTCTTTTTTCTACTTCCAGAAGAAAAACAAAGGATTCTGTAGCTTCAACCTCAACTTCTTAAATATCTTGAAAAATGCAGAAAGTGGCATTTATGTCAGCTTTGAACTTTTTGTCTTCAATCACACTCACTTCAAGTAAACATCTGAATATTCAATTTGCTGAAGAGTTTGGAGTAGGACAAGCGTTTCGGTGGACTTCTACTTGCCTTTGCTCTCACAGTCAAAAGAGGTATACTTACTTGCTCTGTCTCAACAGAGAGGCAGCTACTACAACTGGCAAGAACTGGGCTACAGGTGCCAGGTGTGGGGCTATCAGGCCCTGCTGCTGCCCAGACAGCGGGTAAGATGATAGAGGCAGGGAGGGGAGGAGTCCTGAGCAGCTTCTGGGATCCTGTGTCATTTGGTATAAATGCAGCTCCTGAGCCCCTCAACCCCCGAGATTAGGATGAGCAGATATGGCCCAGGACCAGGAAATCTGCATCCCAAAAAGCACCCTCGGGTGTTTCTGATGCAGGGGAGCCAAGATCCACATTGTGGGAATTACCAAAGGCTTACACTTGTTTCTAAGGTGAGCTGGGGGTGGGGGAGAGTCTACTGTGTCAGGAAAAGGATTAACAGGAGCTATAAGTACACATGTTTTATTCCAAAGTTCCATGATTTATCAGACAGATGAGAGGGGTAATAATACTTGATGAATTAATTCTAAGAAGGATAGAGGAAAGGAAGTCCAGGGTACAAGGAGATAGGCTAATCATATTTTGGGTGACTGGTGGTTCTGAAAAACCTATCCGAAATGGACTGTGCTTAGACTAGGGTTGTGAATCGTGAACTGTGCTGCTCAGCTGAGAAGCATTAGGAAGTGCCCAATCAGCAAACTGGCCAATGTTGTCCAAGTGTCACAGCTAGGGTTTCTGATGCATGAGTCCCAGGGATCTGTGTAAGCCAGTGCAGGGGACGTGCTCCAGGGGATGCCTGGTAGGGAAAGACAAGATTTTGGCTCCTCTTAGAGCCAGTTCCCGAGTCGGGCCGCCAGCACCAAGGATCTTGATGCATCTCTTTGTCCTCTCCCCATGCTAATGTCAAGTCAGTTGCACAGGAGATTGAAATGACACCCACTTCCTGCAGGTCTTCCAACCAGTGGAAAAGCAAAGGGGTGAGGTGTAGGTTTCTTGGGGTCGAGAAATTTCCTCCAAACTGACAGCAGGGGGAGACCACTGAATGGAAACTTCAGAAGGCAGAGTGGTCTTCCTTACCCTTCTGACAATCATGCCAGGTGAATTTGGGGGGTTGGTAACTATGTTAATCACTTGTGTAAAAACATTTATCAGCAAGGTCTCTTTTTCTTTTTTTAAACCCAAGGGATTGCATAAGACCTAATGATTCCAAAGTGCATACAGTTCAGTTTCGAGTAAGTATATCTGATGGGCAGTTTTGGTGCACAGTGAAGTTCTCAACCACTTCCCTTATTGAATATATTTCTGAATTTATTTCTTTTATTATTAATGCATCAAGTCAATGCTCATTACTCAGAGGTATTACATAAGTTAAAATTAGAAAAATTGTGCAAGTGTGAAGTATTCCATTTCTCTTACCTGCCAGCCCATTTACTCCAATTAATCCAGCTGAACTTGAAATGCAAACTAAGTGTCCATGGTCATTAGCGATCATAGCAGGTAGAAAGGCTTTATAAGTCTAAGAAGAGCAAAGTAAACATTTTAACATTTCATACCACATTTTATACTTTTTCTGATGTTTATATGGTCATTATAATAATTAAAAACCACTTTTTAAACTCATAAAAAATACCTGAAGGCATTTTAAAAACTTAAACATCTGGAAAATAACCATCTTAACTTGTTTAACCTATGAAACCAGTATTTTTCTGATGGCAATTCCAATATTATTAAAATTATTTATTCAGACTTACATTTTGCTCGTATTTGCCTTTTAAAAACACAGTATTAAGACAATAATTGAAGCAATAAAGGAAAATCTTAGCCGTGGCAGCCACAATCCAGAGAGGAAAGGATATGATTATTTAGATTTAAATTGCCTCTCCCACGCCCTTGGCTCATACTTGAATTTCAGATTTTTCTGAACATTGTTCAGAGGACATGCTGCTGTTGGCTTCACTTTGAAACTATTGCTCTGTTTTTAAATTTATCTCTACTTCTTTGAATAATGGTTTCTTATTTTTATTCCATGTCATAAAAGAGACTATCTGTTTGAAAGGGGATATATGCTGTGTCTGTGGACTACGGAATACCTTCACCTTTGATGTGGGACCTGGAGAAAGAAGGTAAATGAAAAGCAATGAGCTTTGGGAGATGTATTCTGTAACAAAGAAATAATTAACCAAATATGAATCACTGCATGTTTATATGTCATATATTTGTATTTCATATTTATTTTCTAATAGGGATAAATATGAGAAAAGGGATCTCTTATAAAGGTCAAACAACCTTTGTCTATATCACAATGAGTTTCAAAGAGAAACTAATATGTAGAGAGAGGTGGAATATCAAAACAAGCAAAGCACACAGCAAATGAAAAGCACCCTGAGTTCAGATGGTCTGTGATGCATTGCTGTGCTTCTCCTTGGAGGCACGTGCCTTGGGAGCCTGGTCACAATGTGTTCTCTGACCCTCTTGCAATTAAGTGCCTTACTCTGTGCAGGCACTCACGAGCGTACTCGGACTTGCACAGCAAGAGTGTACAGAGTGACAGCACATGAGGGGAAGGCAGGGGCCGCATTTTGGGAACTAGAAGAAGAGAGAGAGAAAGAAAAGAGAGAGGAGATCGTGGAAGAGACCAGAGAAAGCAGACAGGTGACAAAAGAGCATGAAAACCACAGGAGTGGAGACTTTTAAGGAGATTGTATCTCTATCTGCATTCTGACCACATAGTCTAACTTCATTCTAATGAAAGAGAGGGGAATTTGGGACAAGACAACAGAAATCATTTGCAGCAGTTCCTGAAAGAACATGGTGGCCACTTAGTTCTGAATTTTCCATCCTTCTGAAAACTAAAGAGAACATCAAGAATACCACCAGCACCATTGTAGGTTTGGTGAAACTAGGGGACAGAAGGCCTTCAAATTCCAAGTAATATTTGAAGACTGCCAAAGGAGAGTTGGGCGGGGAGTCCACGTGGAAAGGTGTGAGCAGAATGGAGGGGATCTCAGAAATCTCCAGCAAATACGTACTCCCTCCCACAAGGAGACAGCTGGCCCAGGAAAGGATGCGCTGTGAGCAGGACAGGAACCAAATGGGCTCAAGAGCTGGGAGAGGAAGATTGAGGGAATATGCAATGTGTGGGGAGGCCTGATGTGACTGGTCTAAGCAACTGCCAGGAAAATGCAACTTCTGAAAGTGGGCAGAACACCTTGGAAGTCAGGGGCCATGTCCCTTAATGTCCACAGCACGTTGTCACCAGGGCTACTGGTTGAAACCCTCCTCTCCTTGGTCAGGTGACTGGATGTTTCGTTTTGCCCAGAGCAGAGCTGATTAATGCTTTCTTATTCTATTAATAACATCCCTTTCACTTAACCAAAGTTCCAGCTTAGTCAAATGATACGGTCACCCTGGCCATGTCTAAGTGCTGTCACTTGCTATGTAGACTTGGGCAATTCTTTCAACTTCTGTGATCCCTTATCTTGCTGAACTGTTTTAAGGATTATACCTGAGGTATGTAGGATAGTGTCTACCAAACAAGAAGGGTAGTACCACCGTGAGGACAGTGTGTCTTTATAGGATTCCCTGAACAGAGGCTCTGGGAGGTGTGGGTAATGTTGGAACAGGAGGGGATGACTGGGTAGACCAGGGCAACTCTAAACCTGAGAAGTCTGTGCTTTATTTAGAGGCTAATAACATTGTAAGAGAACAAGAGGAAGGTACTTTGAAATGTCAGAGTAGCTTCATATTTATTATGAGAAAAAAAAATAATTACCCATAAATGTGCTTTGAAATTCACATCGAAAGACTTTTCCATCAGCTCATCTGGGCAGTCGAGGAACTTTTTGCCTGTTACGATGCCGGCATTATTGATTAGGATGGAAACATCACCAACTTCCCTTTTAACCTGAATTGAGTAACAAGAGCAACACCACGAATGTAGTCATTCCTTATATGATCCAGGTTTAATTTCCCCCCAGTTTTATATGCCTCTTTTCCTTGTTAACTCAGATTGAGTTTATGCAGTCTGAAAACAAGAATGTTTTATTTCCTTTGCTGAGCTTACAGCGCATCAGAGATCCAAGTCTGATTGATGCTCTTCTTCTCATTTCTTCCACTCTTCTTATGATGGTTCCAACATCCAATATTGCTTTACTTCTACAGTTAGAGCTATTCTTATGCTCAGTGATTAGTAACTTTGTTCTATGCTCTAAGTAGCATATAATTTTAATCAATGTGATGGGACATACGCCATGATAGCCATGTCATATAAATCAAGACCTAGCACTCATACAGATGGGGTAGAATAGGGAGCGAATGGAGGAATTGTGATGTTCATATCCATGCTTTAAACATGCCATGCAGCTCAGAACCTGCCTGTCCTGTTTTCATCAACAGGCTGTTTTCCTTCTCCCTCCCACAAACTATTTAGGCAAAAGATCTGTGAAGGGAGGATCAGAGTAGGCCCTGTTTCCTGCTGTAACTCTGGCCAGAACTCAATAAAATTTAAGAAATAAAAATTCTGGGTGTGACATTGGAGTCTTCCCCTTACAGCAAATCTTCAGTGTGTAATCCTGGCTCTTAAGTCAGAAATGAGCACAGGGTTTTCCAGGACTGACATAGGAGATGGTGCTGTCTCTTTGCTCCTCTTTGTGTTTTAAACTTCATTACTGTAATTTGTATCACACAGCAGGGGACCTGCTGTCTCTAAAATCAGAGAGAACCGCTGGTTGCAGTTGCCATGTGCTGCACAGGAGACTCACAGCAGTACCACTGACGTGTGTGTGTGTGTGTGTGTGTGTGTGCGCGCGCGCGCACACACACGCATGCGTGTACATAAGTGCATACATCTGCCTGTATGGATGGTCTAGTTTTGTGCAGGAGAGGATGTACTAATGAAGCCATGTGAAAGCTGCCATCTTTCTCATCTGCTGTTGTAGAAGGCCTGTGTCCCAGCAATGAGGGGGACGTGTATTAGGTATTTACTAGCCAATTAGATCTCTAGACCAGGGTAAATTTAGCATGACACAGAGTAAGGAAAACTCACATTCCATGGTAGAGTTTTCAGATAAAAGCACTGGAAACAATCTAACTCTTATTTGGAGAGTGGCCAAAATATATAGTCACATCCAAGTTGAACGGCTGTCAAGGCTAGAAACAGCTAGGTAAGTCCTACCTGAGGCAGAATTAAAAGCTGGATAGCAGAGTGGGCTGGAAGAGCGCACTAGCATTAGAGGCTGATGTCCTAGTGCAAAGTCAGGGAGGCAAAGCTAGAAGCTACGTCTAAGAAATAAACAGGGACATGTGTTCCACCGCCACCTCTCATATGGATAAAGCATGTTGTCATACGCTTGATAAGATACACACCAGACTTTAATTTTAAAGTAGGCACGTAGGGTTTTATTATCCATGGCTTGCATCTTTGCAGCACATAAAAATTATATCTTTATGGATCATACTTTAAACATACCAGACTAAGCATTTGTGACAGGATTTTTCATGTGAATAATCTTCTTTATTTATCTATTTCATATATAGGGTTACCTTTTTTTTTTTTTTTAAGGATTATCTTGACCCAAAGTCTACTTTTTTCCTTTAAATTCAGCCTCTGCTACATTAGGGAGGAAAGGGGTCAGATTTCACTGTGATTTCACTACTATTTAACTATTGCTGACCAATGATAACACAACAGAACGCTCATCCTGGGATGAGAGTAAGCTTGTTGGTATTGTGTTGTTTTATAAGGGACCCAAAGGTAACATCTAAGGGAGAACGCAACAGATTTCAGTTTTTAACTAGCTCTCTTTTCTTTCTTTTTCCCCCCTTGCATTCATTATTCTTCTTGTAAGACTGTGGCAACAGTCTGTTCAGCCCTGGATGGCAACTCTAGGAAGACTGACACAAGCTGTGCCCACCTGTCGGCAGGGATGTCTCTGTGAACATCCACGCTCCGACAACAGCATCTGTAGGAGCACCTTGCCTGTCAGCATCTAACTGCACACTGCCCAAGATGGCGGATTTGAATTTCCCAGGCACTACTTATTTGTCAGAGTGGGAAACAGGGAAAAGTCTGCTTCTACCAGCGACCGGTTTAAAAGATGAAACAATCCTGAAGTTTGACTTTAGACATCAGGAATCAGTCATAAATCTTAAGACATCTTCACAGGTGCTACAAATACAGGCATATCTCATTTCATTGTGCTTTGCTTTATTGCGCTTTACAGGTATTGCATTGTTGACAAATAAGGCAAGACTCTTCAGCAGCAAACCGATGTTGCCCTGCTTTACGGCTTGTTTTACTGCAGTTGTCTTGGACTGAACCTGCAATACTTCTGAGTATTCCTGTAATAAGGGTTTCTTGTTTTGTTTTGTTTTGTTTTCTGTTGAACCAATGCAGTCAAATAGATGTAGACCAAACAAAATCAATTCTGATTTGGCTTGTCTAAGGAATCACAGTCTTTAAATATATAGTTAGGACATTTCAACATGCCACATCAAGAATAAGTGACAATTACATTGCTCCAGTCTGGTCTTGTGTTTATTCGAAATGACCTCTCATCCAGGATGCCAGGTATCAAAGCTGGACTTTCAGGGCTAAGCTGTGATCTAAAAACACAAGCTTTCAAGGTTATTGGGGTCTCAGTGGAGATTAAATACTGTCATACCGCTCTGACAATTTTTACCTTGATCACTCCTTTATGGGATACTTCTTAAAATGTCTCTGGTACCTTCCTCTCTATCCAGAATAAGTGGAAATGTTGGGTTTATAAGAGTGGAGAGTAGCATGCTTTCCCTGAATTCAGAGGAGCATATAATTAATTCTTTCCAAGACCTAGAAGTAAGGAAAGCTGAATAATGGACTAGTAATAGGCCATGTTTGACCATTTCTGAAGCTGAGCATCTTGGGCAGAACTAAATCATGGATATGGGGAAGAGGCAAGTAATTATTTATGGAGCACCTCATATTACCTTGCTTAGTATCTGATGGTGTTAAGTGTTTGAATATGAGCTAGTTATTGTTTAAAGTGGCCAGAGACATTGTCTGTAGTCAGTGTAAGTCAATATGCCAGGTGATCGGTGTTTCAAGTACAAAGAGCTGAATTTGTGAGGTCGGCTACAGCAAAGACACAACTGCACTCTGCAGAGTGGTCCCAGTGTAAGTTCACGCTAGTTGGTCAGGTTTGATCTCCAGACTGTTCTGGATAGCCTGTGATTGGAGATGGTAGAACAGATGTGTAAAATATAAAGACAAACTTAAACAAACTTAAACAAATGCACCCGTCAATTACCTGCAAACTTTTCCACTAGGAAGTGAGGTGGGAAGTAGCAAGAGATTCAAGCTAGAGCCAAAAAGCTTTGCAAGAACTTTCCACCATGGTTGGGCTGCCTGTCGCAGGCTGGTCTGGTTCCTCCCTTCTCATTAAACGGGGGAACTCTGGGAGCCACAAAAACAGTGGCCTAGGAGAGTGATGTGTGGAGTCCTTGTGCCAATGTGAGGACAGAGAAATACTTATGCAGGAAAGGAGGCAGCCATCAGACAAGTATGTGCCTCTACGAACTAAGAAAATACTGACCACTGGCATCTTGGAGCTTCAGTTTCCTGAAAGCGTTCTTTATATGTGCATCTCTATCATCACCAAAGGAGCAACTGAGGTTAAGAGCCTTAAGGATGAATAAAATATTCTGATTTTCTTGTGACTACTTCAGTGAAATAGAGATTCAAATGAAAGGCATTGTTGTGGAGTGGAAATAACTGGATTTAAAATCAGACTAGATGCAGATTTGAATCCTGGCTTACTCATACAATAACTCTGGGACCCTAAGCAGATTATGTAATATCTCTGTGCCTCAGTTTCTTTATCCTCAAAGAAGGGTGCTATCACCTACCTCTCATACTGTGATAGGGGCCAGTATAGTTAGTATAGCAGGGTGGTTAGCAGGGTACTCCAGAGTGAACAAACTCCAGTCCCAGCTGTGGCTTTGCTACTTTTAGCGCTGCTTCTCAGGTAAGCTACTTACTTGCCCCAAGTCTCAGTTTCCTCGTCTGTGAAATGCAGATCATAATGAGCCTTACTTAATAGGATTAGGATATAATACACACAGGGTGCTTAGCATGGTGGATTACATACAGTGAGAACTCAAAAATCCTAATTCCCACTTCCTAATATTTTTTAAATTAAAGGGATGCTGAAGACAGACAAATCAGCACTGGGAAAGCCAAACAGATAAAGAGACTGAGATATGTAAAGCATTGACGTAGAGCTCTTACTACCCAAAGCAAACAGTAAGCACCCACGACTTACCTGATCAGCCACTGTATATACTTCTTCCTTTTGACTGCAGTCGCAGGTATAGGCATGAGCTCTTACCGCTCCAGCGTCCTGAGCCATCTTGCGCGTCTCCTCGTTCTCCTCCTTGTTGATATCCCAGAGGACAAGCACAGCTCCAAGGTGGGCAAATTTGAGGGCGAGGAGCCTCCCAAGTCCACTCCCAGCGCCTGTTATGAGTATGATTTCACCAGCAACATTCTTCCGTGGCTTTGGGATTAAGGTAAACACGATAGTCTCCAGAATGGTAAACACTGATTTTCCTAAGAAACTTAATAATTCCTTTGCTGAGCTCAGGCTGGGAGCCATATTCTGGCTGACACCTATAAAGAAAGACAGACTCGTGTAAAGACCTAGGTGTCCGTTCCCTCTGAATTTGCTTATTACATGGAGCTCACACTTTCTGAAATAATGAAAGAAACTGAGAAGAGTGATTTAAAGGTCTCTTCTGGTAGTGAACTCTGAACTTTGAAAGGGGAGCGGACCGATCTGGACCGTGTCTTGGCCAACTTTCATTCACAGCACCAAGCTCAAGCTTGGCACATATCTATCTGCATGACTGCTAAGCCACGTAGTGACAGAAATGTTCATGAACTGGAACCGTAACCACACATAAATTCAAAGGAGAAGTCCTTTATTTCTCACAGTTAACTTTTCTTCTGAATAATCACGAGTCCTATTGGCTGATTTTATGTTCAAAGTCTTGAACATATTGTAATGTTTATGATATAACTGCTAGGCCTCTGGTTTTATCTCCTTTTAGGTTTATGGTTTTTTATTTGCTCTGTTGTTCTTTAGTTTTGCATCACTATTTAAAATCCGAGATTCCAGAGAAAAGTATAAAATCCTATTTGCACAATGTATTTGAAAAGGAGTAACTAGACTTTCTAAACTTTTTCTGATGGATTCACTATCAGCTCCGGATACCCCTGCCCCAGCTCTGAGGCCCCCTGTGCCATATCGCTTACCACTCGGCCCTATGATTGTGGGACATGAGTGACAGACAGACCTGGATTCCTGTCCTGTCTTGCCCCTGCCTAGCTGTGCAACCTGGGGCAGGCTCCGTAGCCTCTCTGGGCTTCGGTCTCCTCATCTGCACTGGTCCTGTGGCATAGAGTGGTTTTGCAGATGAAATAAGAATGTATATCACATGCTTAACCACAATGCTGGCTCACAGTAAGTCCTTTATGAATGTTATTATGTTTCTCAGATTCACAGTGCTGCTTACCAAGAAGGCACTCAATAGGTTTGCTGAATGAAGAAAAGGCCTCCCCTTGGCAAGTCACTCACACTTCAGTGAGAATGAGTTTATAAGATGCTTTACTAACAAGCACCTGAGAAAGAAGAGAAGGTCTTATTTCCTCCAGGATAAGAAGACATGTTTCGCAGGGAGCATATTGTGCTGGGGTTGGGATGGTTCCCTGAATGGGGTATCCAATTGAGAGGCACAGAGGTGTTCTTCATTAAAGAACAGCAGGTCTTCACTTACTCTCAAGTTTGGCTGAGAACACACTAGTTACTATGAATGACTATGGGTGGATACATTCATCTACAGGAGGGTTTGGGGCATGGGCAGACCCTTAGGAAACTGTTGTTACCTAAACTGTTGTTTCTTGGCTTATTCTGCAGATGAGGCTGAAGATCAGAAAGAATACGTAGGTGGTTTATCCAAGGCCCTTGTGCTAGTTAGTGCAGGGCCAGGTGTTCATTTATCATGTTTATTGAACAGTAACGCTGTGCAGGTATGATGCTGAGCACTGGGGCTGAGGGGATTGGTAGCCTCCCATATTCTCTGGCCTGGTGAGCTAAGGGTCTATTTGAAGATATAGATATTAAATACATCACTACAAGCCATAGTATTATAAAGAAAAGTGTAGGGAACTATAGAGAGTAAACGGGTGATCTGATTTAGATTGGGGTCAAGGTAGGAAGCAACCAGAGAGATTTGCTGGGAAGGGACATTTGAGTGGAAATCCAAATGATGAATGGTAAGAGGTACAGGAATCCGGGAGTAGCTTGCCCAGCAGAGGGACAGAAGAGTTTGAACCTCGAGGTAGCTTAGACCTGTGCGTCGAGGACTGTCCAGGGACTAAGAATGCTGGTGGTGGGTGGCGTGGACGTTCTGGTCAAACAAAGTGTGTTTTCTGCGGAGGAGCACTGGGTTTCACCATGCTTCGCATGAAACAGCCCTCAAACTTTCTGGTATTTTTGCTCGAATTTATTTTCACAGAGTAGCAGCTTTTGGATTTGACTGGACCTCCCAGGGCCTGCAGGACTTGGAAAGAAGGTGCCTTGAAGGGTGAACAGTGGTCATCAGACTCTCATTTTAAACACACAGTCAGGAGGGACAAGGATGAGAGTCAGACTTCCCACAGTAATGTGACACCTTCCCCAGGCCTGGGCACTGCCAACACTCCTATGAGAAAGACTACACCAAGCCACCAATGTCCCTTTTCAGGCACACCTCTGTGTAAGTCCAGGCCAGAAGGACCAAAGTTTATTTCTCATAATGCAGGTGACTAGGAGTCTCCCCACTGACTTGGGTGACATCAAAGTTCTGAATTGTAGGGGTTCTAGATGTCAGTACTCTACTCTCTCAATGCGGGCATGATGCAAAATGGAGAATAGGTCCATTGTTTATCCCTGTCATGGCAGAGGCTTACTAGGTTTTTAAGAGTGTGGCATCCTGAGGTCTCCCTCATCTGGGGTTTAGGGTGTCTGTTGGGGACCTGCACAGGTATTGAG